CAATACAGAGAGCTGAAGAAAGGCACGACTATACCTAAGGGACTGCAGAAAGAAATTCAATGAAGGTGTAACTGTGGAAAAGTACAGCTATATCAAGAATGTAAACATAAATAAAATGACAGGATTCAATACACATCTTTCATTAATAACTTTAAATATTAATGGACTGAACTTCCAGTCAAAAGACACAGACAAGGTGAATGGATAAAGAAACAAACCCATCTTTTTGTTGTCTGCAAGAAACCCATCTCACTTTCTAGGACAAGGATTATCATTAGGTGAAAGGATGGAAAAAAATACACTAAGCAAATGGTACTAAGAAAAAAGCAGGTGCTGCAATTCTAATATCTGACAAAATAGACTTTAAACTAAAACTAATCAGAAGAGACAAAGAGGGCCACTTAATTCTGATCAAAGCAACAATAAACCAAGAAGATATTACAATCATGAACATATATTCACCAAACTCTGGTGCACTCAACTTCATAAAAACAATACTACAGGACTTTAAGACCCAAATTAACCCCAACTCATTAATAGTAGGGGACTTTAATACCCCACTGTCTCCATTAGATAGGTCAACAGGGCAGAGAGTTAACAGAGAGACATGAAATGAACAACACCATATATCAAATGGACCTAACAGACATCTACCGAGTATTCCACCTGAGCACTAAAGGACATACTTTCTATACAGCGCCCCATGGAACCTTCTCCAAAATTGACCATATACTGGGGCACAAAACAAATCTCAACAAATACAAAAAGATTGAAATAATTCCATGCATTCTATCAGACCATAACGTAATAAAGCTTAAAATCAACACCGGAAGAAGCTGTAATCACCACATGAACACATGGAGATTAAACAACACACTCCTGAATGATGAATGGGTCAAAAGAGAAATTAGAATTAAGAAAGAAATTAAAGTATTCCTGAAACTAAATGAAAAGGACAATACTATACGACAAAACCTCTGGGACACCTTGAAAGCAGTTCTAAGATGGAAGTTTATAGCTCTAAGTGCCTACATTAAAAAATTGGAAAGAACACAAATGACTTAACATTGCAACTCAAGACACTTGAAACAAATGAAATGCAAACCCAGCAGACAAGAAGAAATAAGAAAAATCAGGGCAGAAATTAATGTAATTGAAACAAAGAAAACAATACAAAGAATCAATGAATCCAAGAGCTGGGTGTCTGAAAAGATAAACAAGATTGACAAAACGCTAGCCCAATTAACCAAAAGAAAGAAAGAACAACTCCAAATCAACAAAATCAGAGATGAAAGGGGAAACATCACAACAGACACCAGAAAGATACAGAACATTATAAGGGAATACTTTAAAAACGTACATGCTACTAAATTTGAAAACCTAAAACAAATGGATGAATATCTAAAGGCATGGGAACTACCAAAACTAAAACAAGAAGAGATTACCAGCTTAAGCAGACCCAAAACACAAAAAGAAATTGAAACAGTAATACAAAACCTCCCAACTAAAAAAAGCCCAGGACCAGATGGAT